ACTGTGTCAATAAAACAGATTTCTTTCAGCATTTCAGAAATCATCAATCAAACTCATTAATTATAACAGGTATAATGACAATGTCTACAGACATAGAAACATAATCCCACATTTCTCACTAGAAACTGATCAAATGTTTTATTTAGTTTCTAAATCAGCTATAAAATTGCTTTTTATCTAGGCGTTGTTATAGCAACTTGAACGGTGCAGAGTAAAACTGTATCAATAAAACAGATTTGTTTCGGTGTTCCAGAAATCATCGATCAAACTCATGAATTACAGCTTGTGTAATGACAGTGTCTACAGATATCGAAACAGAATAATCACATTTTCTCACTAGAAAAAAATAAAAATTTTTTTAATTTAGTTTCTAAATCAGTTGTTAAAAGGTTTTTTAGCTAAAAAATGTGAGAAAAGGTCAGACATTTTTTTTCTAACATTGCAAGAAAATTGAAAGTCACGTGATTCCTGTGGAAATGAATGGCACAAAAAAACTGTGACAACGTCACAATTTCAGAGGCCAAATTCTTAAATACATATAGTTTTTCAGGTGGACCAAAGTTTCTATTATACAGTTTTCCGTGACGATGGGTTGGTCAGACTTCATGCAGCAGACGAACTGTAGACGGTTTATGGGACAGACTCACATCATCAGCTGGAGCGAGGAGAGCGAGGGACAGAGCAGGACCAACGTGACTGGATGAGAAGTTGTGTGGGTTAATAACTGCATTACTAACTCAGTTACTTTATGGAGGAAGTAATTTATAACAGTAACTAATTATTTTTAAAGTAAAATAACCAACACTGGTCACAACAAAGATGGAGTTTAACAGTGTCAGTTTGGAGAGAGTTTGTCACTATTTCAGGCTCTTCACTTTGTTGAACACAATAAACATCTGTCCTTTTGTGTCACCTCCACATTTAAATCTCACAGTAAATATCCAGCTTAGGATAAAAGTGTGAAACAAACGTTTGTAACTCTGTGACTTCTACAGTGAACTGTGGGAGGAGCATGTCCTCCAAAAAGGGCTGTGAGACTGGAGCAAAAAAAGAAGCAAAGAGTGTCACCAACTGAAACAAACACTTGTGAAGACTTTTTAAGATGGAGTGTGTCCTGTGTACACTGCTCTCAGCTCTGGTTGTGCTCCTGTGTTCTTCCCCAGAGTGTAAAGGAGAAAGACACAGTGACCCAGCCAACAGGAGACACCTCTGACACTCAGGGACACACAGCAACAATACTCTGTACTTTTACAAACCAGGACTGCAACACCATATCTTGTACTGGTACAAACAAGAAGGAACAGGAGCTCCAAAATACATGATGCAAAAATATAGATCATCGTCAAAGTGGTCTGACACATTTAAATCTCCAGATTTCAATCAAGAACCGTTTTAAAGTTGAAGCTGAGGGAAACTCTTTCTCTCTGAAGATCCAGGATGTGGATGTGACAGACTCTGCTGTGTACTACTGTGCTCTGCAGCCCACAGTGACAGGAAACACCAAAACTCTGAACAAAAACCTCTGGAGCAAAGACAACACAATACTGCAGTAGCTCCACTAGAGGGAAACATTACTCAGGTGTTTCCTCCTTTAACCATGTGTCGTCCTGTTTCCTCATGAAAACACCCAGAGAGTTTAAAACACCTCCTCTGCGTCATACGTCCATCACTTCACAGGTTTTATTTACTGAGCAGAAAAAACAATCGATCGAGATCAAGACTGGTAAAAGGTAAAAGTGGAGGGAAAAACAGAGCAAAGTCACAACAAGGAGCTTCAAAAGCGACCAACAGGAGGTTCATTACAGTTTATTGTAAAAATACACATGTTTTGTGTTGGTACATTGAATTCGGGTCAGACTTGAACGTTCTGTGTATTTTTGTCTAGAAATACGTCCTCTGAACAGGAAACGGCAGCCAGCTTTATCTTTGTAGAAACACAGTGGAGCCAGTTGGACACATCAGACGTAACGTTATCCCAGGGTAATGAACAAATATCACAGTTCTCTGCTTCTTTATACGAGACTGAACATTCACTGACGACAGTCACAGCGAGCGCTCACAGACTGAACCTTCATCTCAGCTGCATTTCTCACATGAATCCACAGACACAGGTCACTGAAGTTGGGTGACCAAAAGTCCCTCGAGACGCTGAAATGTCCCAGTTTACACCAAACACTCAAACTGTCCTGTTACAGACGTCACAGCCAATGAGAATGTTACACATGACAATTTAATTCAGCTTCAGCATCAATTAATGTTCATGTAATAAACAAAAGCCTAAATTTTCATTTGGTGATTGTATTTCTTGACGTCGTAACTTTTCAGTTTGTATTCTGATGATAAATACACACAACACATTTTATGTACGACTGGACTCATTTCAGAGTTTACGAAATATTTATTTTATTCTCAAATACAGACAAAAATGCAGAGATTTTTATCCTACGCACATGAATATTTCTGAAAACTTCTTACTCCATACATGTTTGATCAAAAATGTGAATCTGTTTATTTGTGACTCTGGGACTGAAGTGTGAAGACCAAACTCTGTCCCCTGTAGCTGACTGTCTTCTTCACTAAAAGTCTAGTGCACTTTGGATTTCAATCAGAGGTGAACACGTCATGAATGAAACTACAAACATATGACTTCTTTTGTCTACGGCAGAGTTTTATGTCCCTGATAAACAAACTACTGAAACCTGAAGGAAAAACAGATTGTGTCTGATCTCATGTATTTAGAGACGTCCAACTGCATCAGTGTCACCACCACAGAGACCTGAGGGAGGAGCCAGACTGTAAGAGAGGAGCAGACACAGACACTTGAGAGGATTTGAGCTTTTAAGATGGAGTGTGTCCTGTGTACACTGCTCTCAGCTCTGGTTGTGCTCCTGTGTTCTTCCCCAGAGTGTAAAGGAGAAGACACAGTGACCCAGCCAACAGGAGACACCTCTGACACTCAGGGACACACAGCAACAATACTCTGTACTTTTACAACCAGCAACTCATACCCATATCTGTTCTGGTACAAACAAGAAGGACGAGGAGCTCCCAAATACATGTGAAGAAAAGTAGATCATCATCATCGTGGACTAAGACAAGTAAATCTTCAGAGTTCAATGAAAAGAGATTTGAAGTTGAAGCTGAGGGAAACTCTTTCTCTCTGAAGATCCAGGATGTGGATGTGACAGACTCTGCTGTGTACTACTGTGCTCTGCAGCCCACAGTGACAGGAAACACCAAAACTCTGAACAAAAACCTCTGGAGCAAAGACAACACAATACTGCAGTAGCTCCACTAGAGGGAGACACTCTCTGTGAAGCTTCAGACTAAACACAGACGCAGCAAAGCCAACTGTCAGTGTGAGAAACTAAGCAGACTTCAGAAAGTTCACATGAGGATCACTCAGCTGTGTTTTGGACACATGTTTCCTTTAATGGCAGCACTGCTCCTGCTTTTGTTGAGTGGTAAGTCTTATTGAAACCTATGTTCACACTTTATTACATCCACTCAACACTTACTGAAGCACAGAGCAAGAAGCAGCAGGAAATATGTTCCTAACTTCTACATTCATTTGTTTTTCATGTAGGAGTCAGATGTGAAGAGCTCACTGCTCTAAAGCCTGAGGTCTGCGCTTCAGAAGGCTCCTCTGTCTCTCTGGGATACTCTTATGACAAACAACCAGCGTACAATGATTATTTCTTCTGGTATCGACAATATCCAAGAAAAACCTCCAGAATTCCTGATTTCATATTCTGGAACTAAAGATTTCAGTAGAGGGGATGTAAAACGATTCAAGTTTGACGTGAAAAGTAAAGTCGTCTCTGTGCTGGTGTCGTCTGCTGCAGTGGGAGACTCTGCTGTGTACTACTGTGCTGTGAGGCCCACAGTGACAGCAAACCCACAGTCTCTGAACAAAAACCTGTGAGAGAAAACAGCAGTACTCCACACGTCCTCTAGAGGGAGACACTTTCTGAGACTGCTCCACAAAAGCCTCCTGTGGTAGAAGCTGCTGCATCTTCTCAGAGTGACAGAGAAACTTCCTGCACACTTTGATTTAAACTCTTTTACAGCCAATGCAGTTTGGGTTCAGACAAAAGTTTTCATCACATTTAGTTTGTTGTTTCTTCTCTGTTCGGGGACTGCAGGTGGAAATGAATCATTTTACTGTTGTGAGGGTTTTGGTGAAATGTTTGGAATGAACTTTGAATGGGACAGGAAGTTCTGGACGAGGTGATTTATGACTGTGAGAACAAATTTAAGACTGTGTGTCTTTGTGTCTCCTCCACCAGCCGATAAAAACAGTTTGAAAGTGCTGAGATCATGTGAAGTTGTGGCAGTCGTCATTAAAAACATGAAGACATGTGTTCAAACAAAACAGGAACTAAAATCATGCACTTTCAAAATAAAAGTTAAAATCCATAAACTGTGTCAATAAAACAGATTTCTTTCAGCATTTCAGAAATCATCATCAAACTCATTAATTATAACAGGTATAATGACAATGTCTACAGACATAGAAACATAATCCCACATTTCTCACTAGAAACTGATCAAATGTTTTATTTAGTTTCTAAATCAGCTATAAAATTGCTTTTTATCTAGGCGTTGTTATAGCAACTTGAACGGTGCAGAGTAAACTGTATCAATAAAACAGATTTGTTTCGGTGTTCCAGAAATCATCGATCAAACTCATGAATTACAGCTTGTGTAATGACAGTGTTTACAGATATCGAAACAGAAAATCACATTTCTCACTAGAAAAAAATAAAATTTTTTTATTTAGTTTCTAAATCGGTTGTTAAAAGATTTTTTAGCTAAAAAATGTGAGAAAGGTCGGATATTTTTTTCTAATATTGCAAGAAAATTGAAAGTCACGTGATTCCTGTGGAAATGAATGGCACAAAAAACTGTGACAACGTCACAATTTCAGAGGCCAAATTCTTAAATACATATAGTTTTTCAGGTGGACCAAAGTTTCTATTATACAGTTTTCCGTGACGATGGGTTGGTCAGACTTCATGCAGCAGACGAACTGTAGACGGTTTATGGGACAGACTCACATCATCAGCTGGAGCGAGGAGAGCGAGGGACAGAGCAGGACCAACGTGACTGGATGAGAAGTTGTGTGGGTTAATAACTGCATTACAAACTTAGTTACTTTATGGGGGAAGTAATTTATAACAGTAACTAATTATTTTTAAAGTAAAATAACCAACACTGGTCACAACAAAGATGGAGTTTAACAGTGTCAGTTTGGAGAGAGTTTGTCACTATTTCAGACTCTTCACTTTGTTGAACACAATAAACATCTGTCCTTTTGTGTCACCTCCACATTTAAATCTCACAGTAAATATCCAGCTTAGGATAAAAGTGTGAAACAAACGTTTGTAACTCTGTGACTTCTACAGTGAACTGTGGGAGGAGCATGTCCTCCAAAAAGGGCTGTGAGACTGGAGCAAAAAAAGAAGCAAAGAGTGTCACCAACTGAAACAAACACTTGTGAAGACTTTTTAAGATGGAGTGTGTCCTGTGTACACTGCTCTCAGCTCTGGTTGTGCTCCTGTGTTCTTCCCCAGAGTGTAAAGGAGAAGACACAGTGACCCAGCCAACAGGAGACACCTCTGACACTCAGGGACACACAGCAACAATACTCTGTACTTTTACCACCAGCGACTCATACCCAACTCTGTTCTGGTACAAACAAGAAGGACGAGGAGCTCCCAGATACATGGTGAAGAAAAGTAGATCATCATCATCGTGGACTAAGACAAGTAAATCTTCAGAGTTCAATGAAAAGAGATTTGAAGTTGAAGCTGAGGGAAACTCTTTCTCTCTGAAGATCCAGGATGTGGATGTGACAGACTCTGCTGTGTACTACTGTGCTCTGAAGCCCACAGTGACAGGAAACACCAAAACTCTGAACAAAAACCTCTGGAGCAAAGACAACACAATACTGCAGTAGCTCCACTAGAGGGAAACATTACTCAGGTGTTTCCTCCTTTAACCATGTCGTCCTGTTTCCTCATGAAAACACCCAGAGAGTTTAAAACACCTCCTCTGTGTCATACGTCATCACTTCACAGGTTTTATTTACTGAGCAGAAAAAACATCGATCGAGATCAAGACTGGTAAAAGGTAAAAGTGGAGGGAAAAACAGAGCAAAGTCACAACAAGGAGCTTCAACAGCGACCAACAGGAGGTTCATTACAGTTTATTGTAAAAATACACTTGTTTTGTGTTGGTACATTGAATTCGGGTCAGAGTTAGAACACTTCTGTGTATTTTTGTCTAGAAATACGTCCTCTGAACAGGAAACGGCAGCTTTATCTTTGTAGAAACACAGTGGAGCCAGTTGGACACATCAGACGTAACGTTATCCCAGGGTTAATGAACAAATATCACAGTTCTCTGCTTCTTTATACGAGACTGAAACATTCACGACGACAGTCACAGCGAGCGCTCACAGACTGAACCTTCATCTCAGCTGCATTTCTCACATGAATCCACAGACACAGGTCACTGAAGTTGGGTGACCAAAAGTCCCTCGAGACGCTGAAATGTCCCAGTTTACACCAAACACTCAAACTGTCCTGTTACAGACGTCACAGACAATGAGATGTTACACATGACACTTTAATTCAGCTTCAGCATCAATTAATGTTCATGTAATAAACAAAAGCCTAAAATTTTCATTTGGTGATTGTATTTCTTGACGTCGTAACTTTTCAGTTTGTATTCTGATGATAAATACACACAACACATTTTATGTACGACTGGACTCATTCCAGAGTTTAGAAATATTTATTTTATTCTCAAATACAGACAAAAATGCAGAGATTTTTATCCTACGCACATGAATATTTCTGAAAACTTTCTTACTCCATACATGTTTGATCAAAAATGTGAATCTGTTTATTTGTGACTCTGGGACTGAAGTGTGAAGACCAAACTCTGTCCCCTGTAGCTGACTGTCTTCTTCACTAAAAGTCTAGTGCACTTTGGATTTCAATCAGTCAGAGGTGAACACGTCATGAATGAAACTACAAACATATGACTTCTTTTGTCTACGGCAGAGTTTTATGTCCCTGATAAACAAAATACTGAAACCTGAAGGAAAAACAGATTGTGTCTGATCTCATGTATTTAGAGACGTCCAACTGCATCAGTGTCACCACCACAGAGACCTGAGGGAGGAGCCAGACTGTAAGAGAGGAGCAGACACAGACACTTGAGAGGATTTGAGCTTTTAAGATGGAGTGTGTCCTGTGTACACTGCTCTCAGCTCTGGTTGTGCTCCTGTGTTCTTCCCCAGAGTGTAAAGGAGAAGACACAGTGACCCAGCCAACAGGAGACACCTCTGACACTCAGGGACACACAGCAACAATACTCTGTACTTTTACCACCAGCGACTCATACCCAACTCTGTTCTGGTACAAACAAGAAGGACGAGGAGCTCCCAGATACATGGTGAAGAAAAGTAGATCATCATCATCGTGGACTAAGACAAGTAAATCTTCAGAGTTCAATGAAAAGAGATTTTGAAGTTGAAGCTGAGGGAAACTCTTTCTCTCTGAAGATCCAGGATGTGGATGTGACAGACTCTGCTGTGTACTACTGTGCTCTGCAGCCCACAGTGACAGGAAACACCAAAACTCTGAACAAAAACCTCTGGAGCAAAGACAACACAATACTGCAGTAGCTCCACTAGAGGGAGACACTCTCTGTGAAGCTTCAGACTAAACACACAGACGCAGCAAAGCCAACTGTCAGTGTGAGAAACTAAGCAGACTTCAGAAAGTTCACATGAGGATCACTCAGCTGTGTTTTGGACACATGTTTCCTTTAATGGCAGCACTGCTCCTGCTTTTGTTGAGTGGTAAGTCTTATTGAAACCTATGTTCACACTTTATTACATCCACTCAACACTTACTGAAGCACAGAGCAAGAAGCAGCAGGAAATATGTTCCTAACTTCTACATTCATTTGTTTTCATGTAGGAGTCAGATGTGAAGAGCTCACTGCTCTAAAGCCTGAGGTCTGCGCTTCAGAAGGCTCCTCTGTCTCTCTGGGATACTCTTATGAGAAAGGAGCATCTGGTGGTGATGAGTTTTATTGGTATCGACAATATCCAGGGAAACCTCCAGAATTCATCTATTCTCATTTGGGAACAGGAAAAAAACTTAAAAGTGAAATCCTGGGTCTTTCAGTCCAAATAAGCAAAGACAGCAGACATCTCCATGTGCTGGTGTCGTCTGCTGCAGTGGGAGACTCTGCTGTGTACTACTGTGCTGTGAGGCCCACAGTGACAGCAAACCCACAGTCTCTGAACAAAAACCTGTGAGAGAAAACAGCAGTACTCCACACGTCCTCTAGAGGGAGACACTTTCTGAGACTGCTCCACAAAAGCCTCCTGTGGTAGAAGCTGCTGCATCTTCTCACTGCTCCAGATCTAAACTCCAGTCTGTGCTCTGCTGCTCTCACAGCCCTTTAGATCTGTGTGTTCTGACAAACAGTAATAGTGTATTTTAAATGGATGTGGTGTGTGGAAAGGTGCCTGATAGATCAAATGTTGGTTGTGGTTCCAGTCCTGTGTCAGACTCAGGGATTTGTTGCAGTTTCCTGTAGGTCCCCAGGGGTCAGTCCTTGGCCCTCCTCTGTTCTCGCTCAGTGGTGAGAGTCTGAAACCTTTACTAAGTGACACTTTTACTGAGCTTTTGTCTGTGACGGATTTGAAAACCTTTCATAGTTTTTTGCTGGTGCAGTGCAGGAGGTGAACCCACTGCAGCAGCTTCACATGTTCATTAAACATGAAGGTGATGACCTGTAGTCCCCATCTGTACTGTTTTCCATTCCCCACAGCTCTTTAAACATTATAAATCCACATCTCTAATATTATATCTCTCCATCTTAACAAACTATATATTGTGCTTATTTGTGTCTAACAGCAAACTCTTACAAAAGATACAAAAATACAGGATCAGAGGAACAGCTCTAAAGTGGATAGAGTCTTATTTAACAAACCTAAAGTCGTTTGTGCAATGGGGACAGCACCAATCCACGTGTGATACCATTGTCTGTGGAGTCCCACAGGGATCTGTGCTGGGCCCCAAATTATTTATTTTATATTTAAATGACTTGGACCTAGTTTCTGAAAAACTTTAATTCGTTCTCTTTGCGGACGATACAACAATTCTGTGTTCAGACGACGACCTTCAAAGATTAGTGATCGAGACGACACACGAAAACTGCAAAGTTACAAGTTTGGTTTGTAAAAAAACGAACTGTCTCTAAATATCATGAAAACAAAAAACAATGTTCTTTGGAAACCGTGACATAAATCCACAAACACAAATTAAAACTGATAATGTAACCATAGAAAGAGAACTTGAACACACATTTCTTGGTGTAACTCTTGATCACAAACTTTGTTGGAAACACTGATAAAATTTAAACCAAAGTTGCAAAAGTTAAAATCTTGATGAACAAATCTAAATTTCTCCTAAATAAGAAAGTCCCGTATACAATCTACTGTCCTCTTATCTGACCCCATTTAAGATTCTGTGTAGAGGTCTGGAGAAATTCTTATAAAAGTAGCACAGATTTATTGTTTAAATTACAAAAAAGCAACAGGAATAACTCACTTAGTCGGATATAGAGAACATACAAATGCACTTTTTTTACGATCAAAGAAACTGAAATTTAGGGACCTTGTAAAATTTTAAACATGCCAAATCTTATTTAAAGCCAAACTCAACCTGCTCCCAGAAAACATTCAAAAACTGTTCCACACAAATGAACTTCAACTGCATCAGTGTCACCACCACAGAGACCTGAGGGAGGAGCCAGACTGTAAGAGAGGAGCAGACACAGACACTTGAGAGGATTTGAGCTTTTAAGATGGAGTGTGTCCTGTGTACACTGCTCTCAGCTCTGGTTGTGCTCCTGTGTTCTTCCCCAGAGTGTAAAGGAGAAGACACAGTGACCCAGCCAACAGGAGACACCTCTGACACTCAGGGACACACAGCAACAATACTCTGTACTTTTAAAACCAGTGACACTGACCCATATCTGTTCTGGTACAAGCAGGAAAATGGGGGTTTTCCAAAATATATGATGAGAAGATACAAGTCTGGATTCTCAGATAATTCTCCAGAGTTCAAGAAACCCAAGTTTGATGCTGAGCTGAATGGAAACTCTTTCTCTCTGAAGATCCAGGATGTGGATGTGACAGACTCTGCTGTGTACTACTGTGCTCTGAAGCCCACAGTGACAGGAAACACCAAAACTCTGAACAAAAACCTCTGGAGCAAAGACAACACAATACTGCAGTAGCTCCACTAGAGGGAAACATTACTCAGTTGTGGCAGAGAAACTTACTGCACACTTTGATTTGAACTTTCTTTTAGACCCAAGGCAGTTTGGGTTTAGACAAAAAGCCTGGACAGACTTCAGCTGCTGTTTCCTCCTGGAGAGAATCAGGGCTCACATAGATCAGGGAAGAGGAGTTGGGGCAGTCTTCCTGCTCAAAGCCTTCGACACGGTTAATCACCAGATACTTCTCAACAAACTAAACGACTACGACCTTTCCACGCTCACCCAAAACTGGATTAGGTCATATTTGAGTGTTTGGATTCAGTGTGTCCGGGTGAATAACTCTATCACCCTTTAAAGCCGCCTCTGTGGGAGTGCCCCAGGGCTCCATCCTTGGACCTCTGCTCTTTAGTATTTATATAAATGATCTCACTCATGTGTGCATTGATGTTGATATAATCATGTGTGCTGATGACACTCTGCTTTTTACTGACAGGAAAATGAACTGGAGGAAACAGAAAAATGGAAAATGTTGCAAACTGGCTTCAGAATTTCTGCTTTACCTTAAATATTGATAAAACAGTTTCATTGGTTTTTTTAACCAATAAATGTAAATCCCACAGACTCATGAAATTTTAGTAAATGGACAAAACATCAGGAATGTGGATGAATTTAAATATTTAGGTTTATTACTCGACTCAAAACTGAATTTTAAAAGTCACATTAAAACAACACTGAAGTTCAACTTGATGCGTTTTAAAACTCTCTCCAAAACTGACACTGTTAAACTCCATCTTTGTTGTGACCAGTGTTGGGCATTATGAATCATTTTAAATAAGTTTAACATCTGATTGAATTTAAGCAACTTTTCCACATTTAACAGTTTATATTTGACAAGTATTGAGCAGTGGTGGTGCAGACGAGGCTTTTTATCTTGTTTATAAAATGTTTCTAAATCGGTTTTATAGATGTTTTACACACCTGAGAACAGCTCGTAAAACAATATTGACAAAACACTTGTGAAGACTTTTTAAGATGGAGTGTGTCCTGTGTACACTGCTCTCAGCTCTGGTTGTGCTCCTGTGTTCTTCCCCAGAGTGTAAAGGAGAAGACACAGTGACCCAGCCAACAGGAGACACCTCTGACACTCAGGGACACACAGTCATTATACTCTGTACTTTTCAAAGAGCTGCCTTAACAAACTACTATTTGTTTTGGTATAGACAGAAAAATGGTGATTTTCCAAAGTACATCTTACGGCGAGACACGTATGGAACAGAAGACAATTCTCCAGAGTTCAACAAACCCAAGTTTGATGCTGAGCTGAATGAAAACTCTTTCTCTCTGAAGATCCAGGATGTGGATGTGACAGACTCTGCTGTGTACTACTGTGCTGTGAGGCCCACAGTGACAGCAAACCCACAGTCTCTGAACAAAAACCTGTGAGAGAAAACAGCAGTACTCCACACGTCCTCTAGAGGGAGACACTTTCTGAGACTGCTCCACAAAAGCCTCCTGTGGTAGAAGCTGCTGCATCTTCTCACTGCTTCCAGATCTAAACTCCAGTCCTGTGCTCTGCTGCTCTCACAGCCCCTTTAGATCTCTGTGTTCTGACAAACAGTAATAGTTATTTTAAATGGATGTGGTGTGTGGAAAGATGCCTTATAGATCAAATGTTGGTTGTGGTTCCAGTCCTGTGTCAGACTCAGGATTTGTAGTTCTGTAGGTCCCCAGGGTCAGTCCTTGGCCCTCCTCTGTTCTCGCTCCAGTGGAGAGTCTGAAACTTTACTAAGTGACATTTTACTGAGCTTTTGTCTCTGACGGATTTGAAACCTTTCATAGTTTTTTGCTGGTCAGTGCAGGAGGTGAACCCACTGCAGCAGCTTCACATGTTCATTAAACATGAAGGTGATGACCTGTAGTCCCCATCTGTACTGTTTTCCATTCCCCACAGCTCTTTAAACATTATAATAACAGGAGAACTTTGGCCGTCTTCATGTTTTGGGGGAAAGTGGCTGTTGTGAATGAAAAGATTCAGATTATATTAACTGTAGCTACAGCTGCACTACGAACGACTTTTTACTGTTGTGTATCAGTTTACAGTGTCAATAACCTGTTCTGTTCCTGCCTTGTTTAGAAAGATCCAGTTTGGATTTCATGGAATATTTTTCAAATTTTCTCACTCAGGTTTTCTCCAACACAAACAAAACAAGAACTGAATCCACTAATTTCACTGATGTTAAAAATATAAATATGTGTTACCATCAACAGGAAGTGAAAACTGAAGAAAAACAGACTCTGGATGAAAAAGGAGATCTGAGTCACTCTGATCTGTTTTGCTCTTATTTTATTTCATTTCATGTCAACACGTTTCGACTTGAGTTTTCATCAGGACATGTCAAATTCTCAGGTTTGTACTGGTGGTGTTTAAATGTAGAAGTCACATGATGACAGCGTCATGTGACAAATCCCCCAGACAAAACGTACATTTTTAAACATACATCTTTTAAAAAAAGGACAAGTTGTCTTAATTGAGCGTGCACCAGAATGAACTGTTCTCACAGAGAGCTGCTCATAACAGAAAATCCAACAGGACACATTTTACAAAGATTTTACTACAAAAAGAGAAAAAGCTCTCACAGACGTCACAGAAAAGGTGAAGTCCTTTCCTCTTTAATCCTGGAGTTGTACTCTTAATTTGTGGTCTTATTAAGACCATTAGTTGTAAAGGCTGCTTAAAGTCTTCCTCCCTGAGGTTCTGGTCATGTTCCATGCCAAAGATTTATGGACGCCCGTTTGTCGCTTTTTCCGAGGAGAGGTTTTGAGGACAAAGGCTATTTTTGGTCAATACCATTAAAATTAGTCCTGTTAACGTCAAAAAGCTGCACTCAATCTGACCTGTAACGACAAAAGTAGAACTGCACTTGTAAAACCTTGCATTTGTAAAGTTGTTTGTTAATAGTTCTGAATGTATTTGTGTTTTATCACTTATTACAACTGAATGTGACAATAAACATTATTACACCTATT